CCTGAAATGAGGCATGCTGCATAATTTTAAATACTTTTAATCTTGGTACTTTAATTGTTTGTATTTTATATCAGTGATATTTTGAGTATTTCAACTCGGGTGATTGGTTGTTACTTTAGTAAAAGTGGTGTATAAATTTCCACCGAGTGATCATCTTCATTAGAAACATCTTTGATTCTTCTGCCCTGACGTCATGCATTACGAGCGTCAGCCAATTCTGACTCGTGTTTCCGCGGTTCACAATTAAAAACGCCTCCACTGAGAAAACTTTATCGGGGTCCTCTTGCAGCTGTCCGAGTCTTCGGCCGTGACGGCGTTGAAGTTGTGTCTGACGATCAGGCTGAGTTCTAACGACTTCCTGCTTCTCCAGGTAACTTTTACCGTTTCCTCTGCTGCAGTTGAAAACTGCCGGCTCGAGTTCCAGTTTACTGAACAACCTGTTTGTGTCTTGTAGCGCTGAAAAACCCGCCTTTGATCCTCCTTCCAGCCACGTGAGCCCGGGTCCGTCAGCAGGTCCAGACCCGCAGTTAAAGGCACTCCCTCTGACCCGCTTTTGTCTTCTGAGACCCTGCCAAGAAGTCCGGACAAGAGCCTGTTGGTTGTTGTAGTTCCCGGTTCAAACCCCCCGGTACGACAGCATCTGTTTCCACTGAGAGAGTCCTTAAGCAGCTGCGTACAGCTCCCTCTCTTCATTCGCAGTCAGTTCAGGGCCGTGGAGACCGGTTACATAGAGGGTCAATGTCCTACAAACAATAAAAGGCCCCGCTGCAGAAGTGGGATGACTCTTCATTAGCTGCAGGATCCTGTTTCACTTTAATGAAAAATAACACAAAAAATGAATACTCAGCTCTGTTTGTCATAGAGACGAGCTGCGCAGTTATGTCTAATTAAAAACCAGAGAAGAACGGTGACGTTCATCTAGTTTTTTCAGTTCAATTAAATGGGGCCTGGAGCAGGGACAGGACCATGGACGGCATCATGAAGTAGAGGCGGGGCCGGCACAGGCAAGATAAAAGACCCCCCACCCCTCCTGCATGGTTACACTCGGTTGTTAATGTTTTGTTTGTTTGTAGTTTTATTTCATCTTTCATGGTACCTCACAGATAATTTGTTTGTTTTTATGACTCAGTGATTTGATTGTAATTAAAACAAAAACCTCCCATCTTTATTCAAACTGCTCCAAAAACACGGATTCAGATTCGGAATCAGATGAAACGAGGAATAATTAAAAACAAAGACGTTTTACCTGCTGAGGTGCACTCCTGCTAATTTTAGAATCAACTGTTCCACACCTCCGGTTGATAAACCCAGCAGAGGAAGCTGGTTTTCCAGTTCATGACTGGTCTAGTTTTATTATATAAATATAATTAAGAGTGTGAGCTCAGTGTCATATTCTTGCGTAGAGAGGATGTCGTACACGTCTCAGTAAGAAGCACTCGGGCACTTTGTTCGCGGAGCGATGGGCGCGACAATGGCCGGTTGACAGGCTCTGTCGGGGACGGAGAGAATCCTGGGAGGAAGCTGGAGGAAGCAGGGGCTTCGATAAGGTGGAGAAAGCAACAACAAAACACACATTCACCCTTTCTTCCTGTAACTTCTAACTCCTGTGTGTAGCGCCCCCCAGAGCCTGCCAGGGTTCATTTACAGTCACAAGCTGAGGTCCAGTCCACCTCCTCAGCTCTGTGCTGCCCGAAAGTTAAAGACATTTAAAAGATGATTTAAAGGAGCTATAGTGAGTTTTTCTAGTTAGCTTACATAGCTAACATTAGCGCCATTAGCAGCTGTTACTTCACCAGGGTGTCTAGAGAAACGCTGAGTTTCCAGCATCAAACAGCTTGTTTCAGAATGTTCAGTGAGCAGGAATTGCAGGAAAGCAGCTGATCAGAAGAAACAAACATTTACCACCTGAAAGTCCGTCACAGTAAAACTGATGATCTTCTGAATCATGAATCAGAAGGATTTTCAGTTGTTCTTTTGCTGTTTTCTTGTTTTTCTTTTGAGGTTTTTGTTGTGTATTTTTATATTGCTTTTTAAATATTTATTTTCTTTGTTTTTGTTTTTTTTTTGTGTCATTATTCTATGTATTTATCTTTTACTTTTTTTACTAAGTTTTTAGCGTGTCTTGTTGTGCTGTGTGTGTTTGTGTGCTGTTCAGGCGTACGTGGTTTCCTGGGTCAGTTCCTTGACAAATAAGGTTTGAAGAATAGACTCTGAGATGTCTCACCGAGTGGCTCAAAGATCGGCCAGCGGATGCGAACTCCCGCCAGGCCGCGTCCTGCCGGCTCAGTGCCTGAAGGAGTGTTGCTGAGGCCGGTTCCTCTCGGAGACCCCGCCCCCTCATCACCTGGGGCTCTGCCCCTTCAGGTTCCTTACCCCAGCTTCACTCACTTTCCTGCTTCTGAGGCCTGAACATCAGGAGCTCATACCTGTGTCTGTCTGTCGCTGCTGCTGCTTGGTTCAATGTTGTCAGCTTCAACCTGGACGGTGACGTGTGTCGGAGCCTACAGTGTTGTTTGTTTGGTTAGTCACTCAGTTTGTTTCATTGCGAGAACCGCTTCTACAGAATAAAAGCTTGTGGTCCTCAACAGTTTGTGTGTCTGCGTGTGAACACATGATAATCCTGCTGCATACAACACACAAAACTGTTCCAGGGTTTTAAAACACCTCAACCTACACTTGACTTTAGCACTGTAGCAAATTTGCGATGGCTACACACTGACAGCAGCAGAACTGACTCCTGTGGAGACTCAGCTGAAATCAACAGAGCCCACTTTATTACTCAGACACATTCACATTCCTGTTTATTTGCTAGTTATATAGTACAACGAACACACACACACACAACACACACACACACTAGAAACAACTACGAAACAGTAGAAACAGGGCTTCCTTCAGAGTAGAAAACAATCAGAGTCGCCTGTCGATAGAAACAGAATTTGATCAAGTTGACAGCCTGAGGCTCAGAGACATGGCGACCCTCCCCCCCCCCCACACCCACCCCCACAGTGTGAGGCGTGAACGGTTTCACTGGGTACAGGAGGAGCAAGAAGATTGAAATCCCAGTACAAACACCAAGTTTTAGAGAATGATGAAGTCTTCTCATGTTCATCAGGACGGGTTCAGACCAGGACCAGGAAAAGCGACAGTGAGATTCCTGATGAACAGAAGTTCAGTTATTTTTAAATGGTTAATTTGAAGGAAACTTGTTTTAAATCAGTGTCTCTGGTTGAAAAGTCTCTCTTTTGTCTCATTCTGATGTTTTTATTGAATCAAATCTCTTAACTTTAAATCTAATAAAACAGAATTTTGACCTGAATTGAGTCTCAAGTCTCTTTTCTCTCTGATGCAGACTGAAAGCTTCTTCATCAACGTCCATCCCTGGGTTACATAGATGTTTAACTAAAATTAATATATTAACAAAACTTCACATCCTGTGGCACTGTTGGTTCTTGGTCAGCCAATCGTTAGGCTAACAGCCCTCGTTTATCATTGATACACATCAGCAATCCCACGGGGCACGTCGTTAATGACAAAAAAGTCCTGTACGTCAGTTACCTCGGATACACACGTGGGCACGTCGTTAATGACAAAAGGTCCTGTACGTCAGGTCCCGTCGGGTCTCGTCAGGTCCTTCAGGACCGTCAGGTCTCGTCAGGTCCTGTCGGGTCCTTAAGGTCCATCAGGTCTTGTCGGGTCCCGCCGGGTCCCGCCGGGTCTTTCAGGTCCAGTCGGGTCTCGTCGGGTCCTTCAGGTCCCGTCAGGTCCTTCAGGTCCTACAGGTCCTGTCGGGTCCCGTCGGGTCCTTCAGGTCCCGTCGGGTCCCGCCGGGTCTCGTCAGGTCTGGTCGGGTCTGTCGGGTCTGGTCGGGTCTGTTGGGTCCCGTCGGGTCTCGTCGGACCAGGTTCAGGTTTTCATCCTCTAAAACACGTCCGTTTCAAACATTCACCATCAGTAAGTTATTAAACATAAAAACAGCTTCATCCTTCACCAACAAAATATATGAGACGATTAAATATAGAAAATATGATCAGAGGTCAAAGGTCAAAGGTTAATTAAACTTCCTGGATGTTTTAATTACTGCTGATAAATAAAGTTGAGGACAAATCTCATCTGAGTCTCTGAGTGTTTGTGGTGGAGTGTCTCCATGAGGTCATGTGATCTGGACTCGGCCTCAGACTGAGACCTGGACCAGGTGAGGCCGAGTCCACCTGGACCAGTCGAGGGGGGGGTCATTTGCAGGTCTCAGTCTTCACAGAGATCCAGGTTCAGTTCAGCTTCTGTACCTTGAGTCTGAGATATCCAGGAAGTCCTCACAACATTCAGGATGTTTTCAAAATAAAAGCCGTCAGTGTCTCTTCAGGGACTCGATGTAATGGAAAGTGGCTCCCAGAGCCCAGCTGGTCTCCACCTGGTTGATGGTCCTCGCCAGCTGCAACACACACGCACACACACGCACACACACGCACACGACTCAATTTCCTTCTCCTGCTATCAAATCTGGCAACACTTCCTCTGGACCCTGGTCTGTCTGGTCCAGATTCTGGTCTGGACCGAGGTGGGTTCCTCACCTTGAACTGTTTGTGGGGGGGGAACCCGAGCTCCTGCAGCAGGACTGAGATGTAGACCAGGTCCAGACAGAGGAAGGGACTCTGCAGAGGACTGGTGGACGGACTGCTGCACACTGCAGGGAGATAACCACAGATCCACCAATCACAAGCATCCAGGCCCAGGGGTCAGGGGTCAGGGGTCAGGTCACATGAGGAAAACAAACATGTAACAGCTTCAGATTCAATATAAAAACTTTATTATTTCTATAAGAGGTACAGTCATGTGGAGCTGGTGAAACATTATTGATAAATTAATGAGAAAGATTTTGTTTGATCACAGATCACTGAGCATCTTGTTATTTATAGAACGAAGATATTAAAAGATGAATCTCTGTAATGACTCTGACTCTCTGCACAGACCTGAGGTCACACAGCTGATAAATAATAATCATGTTTATTATTAATAATCCTGAGATGAAGGAAAGTGTTTCAGTCTAAAGCTGCAGTTCAGAGCATCTGCAGCCGGGTGGCGCTGTCTCACCTCTCCTGGCTGCTTCCATATAATCGGCCACTTTAATGGTTCCTCCTCTCTTCTCCTCTGAACACAGACACAAACACAGACCTCAGGTCAGATTCACTGGATCCTGGAGCCACAACAAACTACAGAGACTCTGATCTGGAGCCTCGTCTCCACCTGAGGGAGAGGTCACAGTTACACTGACTTCAGCTCCTCCCTCCTTAACGACCCGCCTCTGCTCAGGAAACCTCCACCTCCACCTCCTCTTATTATGTGTATACATATATATAGATATATATCTATTGATCTGCTGGGACATGATATTCTGCTGTTTTTACCACAGGAAACATTTGATCAGCTGATCATTAAAATGTCTGAATAATCTCAGGAGGAATCCTGTAAATAAAACCATCCGTTCATTCATTCATCTGTTCATCTGGTTCGTACCGATGACTCCGAGGTCGACGGCGCGGTCGTAGTAGTAGGAGAAGGCGTAGAAGTCGATGTCTGCGGCTTCAGACGCCTTCGTCACCTTCCTGTACAGAACTTTCTCCACTTTGGTCAGACACGCCTCGTAAACCGGCTCCCCTCACACACACACACACACACACACACACACACACACACACACACACACACACACACACACACACACACACACACACACACACACACACACACAGGTTCCTACTCGCTCCAGCTGCATGATGGGTAACGGACTGACTGACCAATCAAATCACAGCACGGTGTTTACCTGCTTTCTGTCCCTTCAAAGTGTAGACGACGTCAGCGTGCTCCCAGCTGCCTGAGTACTCTGGGGCAAGGCAGGGGCTGACCAGCTCCGTGCTGCCCCCCACTGCACACACACGACATTTAAACAGGAAGCAAAGAAGAGTTAATGCAGATATCACATGATGTGACCAGTAACCTGAAGGAAACACCTGAGCTCACACTCACGTTATGAACTGCAGCTGTGAAATAATGTTGAATTGAAATGTCTGAGCGTCAGTGAAGTGGACACAGACAGCTGAGTGAATCTGTGCTGCAGCTTCTTACAGGAGCTAAATCGCAGCAACAGCTGGCAGGCAAGGAATTAATCTTACTGTGTTATTAAAAGATTAGATAATGGCTTATTTATCTGACGGGGGTGGGGGGGGGGGGGGGGGGGGGGGGTGTATAAAAGGCAGAGATGAAAGCAAATTGAAAAACAAGAAAAAAATAGAGTACAAATGAGGGTCATGTACGTACGGGGCGAAGCGTCGACGCCTCCTAAGACGGTGAGTCGAGCCGACATCAGACCCAGTCCCAGATAACTGTAGACAGAAGGCAGGAAGTGGTTTAAATGGACTTTCATCCAGCTCAGTGATTGGTCCGTTCACTGATGAGTCAAACAACAATTCTGACTGAGTCATTCATCACTTTTACTCCTCCAGTAAAAACACCTGAGTGAAAACTTCCTGTTTTGGTTTTATCACAGTGACGTGAAAACATGTCGTTCATTAACACTGACTGGATGTTCAATGGAAGTTCAATGATTCTATCACTGATCAATACATCATTAAGTCAAGTTGTCTATAATTATTAATTTTTCATTATTTATGGTTTTTTTTACACATTTTTGACATGAAAAATCTTCTCCAATGGCTCTAGTGGAAATCTAAAAGAGATTCATTGCATGTGATAATCTGTAGGATATTATAGGTGGTAACCAGGAAGTTAACTGGTATCATGTGGTGTTCCACAGGGATCGAACCTGGGACCATTCATCTTCCTAAAATACTGTGTAAATGATCGAGTTGTGAGGATCTCTCATTCAGACTGTGTCTTCGTCACTGTGAGCTGTGAAGGAGCCGCGACTCAGTGATCGCTGCTGTGTGTTATATATGATTGTAAATTAAATCTCTTTGAGTTTTTGGACAAAACAAGACATTAGAAGACGCCACATTAAAATGAAGCATGAAACAAAATGGAAATGAGCTTTTGTTTTTAAACTGTTTTCTCAAACTGTCAATTAACAGAGAAAATATTAATTAAAAAAATATGTTTTATGTAATAATTTGTTTATATTATAGGTGATAACTAGGTAATTAACTGGTATCATGTAACTGTCTCCAGTGTGTAGACATTAATGGTGTTTAACAGAATGCTTGTGGTGTTCCACAGGGATCGATCCTGGGACCATTCATCTTCTTGTATGGGGTGTGTGTGTGTGTGTGTGTGTGTGTGTGTGTGTGTGTGTGTGTACCTGTGAGTGTAGACGGTGTGTGTGTTGTTGAACATCTGGAAGGACCTGATGTAGTCGATGGGTGAGGTCTGGATGGTTTTCTGCTCAGAAAGAAACAAAATCATCAGAGTCAGGCTGTTTGCTCTGTACTGTACTGTGCAGTTTGCTAAGTGCAGCTCAGTTGCTCACAGAGTGAAGGAGTCACGGAGGTCGTGTGTGACTCAGACAGGTGAGGCCCAGTTCTCTGAAGTTTCCTCATAAAGATGAAAATAGACTCTTATGAAGAGGTCTGAAATGTCTTAGTCAGTGTTTGTCAGTTCCTGGGTTGTAGCTAGTCCTCGAACCCCCCCCCCCCATGACTACAGGCTGAGGAAGAGGAGAAGGATGATGTGAACTCTTCTGCAATCCCTCGTGTACGAAGCCTGACCTAGATAAGAAACCAGAAACACCCCCCCCCTCCCTTTTTACACCCTCCTCCCCCTCCTGATGTGAGGGTGTTTATTTGGGATTATCGTGGCATTTACAGATTAAAGCCTCTAAGATGGAGCCACACTGGTAGTTTGACTGAGAGAGAGAGAGAGAGATCTTCCTCTCTGAGTCTGCCTCGCTCTACCAATCTTAAGTCTACCCTCCTACCCACTCTCTCTCTCTGTTAGTGTCTATGTCGGTCGTCCTCACCTCGTCCTGAGGGCTGAAGGTGATCTGAGTCGACCCGCCACCCAAATCCAACATTCCCACTGTGGGCGAGTCAGCACTGTGAAGACCACCTGAAAACAGAGAGAGAGAGAGAGAGAGAGAGAGAGAGAGAGAGAGAGAGAGGGTGGAGGAAAAGAAAAGAGTAAAAAGAGAGAGAGATTAGGAAAAACAGAGAGAGAGAGCTGCAGTATAATCCAATAACAGGTAATCACTATTTCTTGTCCACATTAATCTGGTTTTACACACACACACACACACACACACACACACACACACACACACACACACACGAAAGCACAAACCAAATTTCATCTTCCTGTTATTGCTTCATATTTTCATAGTTATGTGATAAAAACCTAATCTATAAAATTAGGGCTTCTGTGTGTGTGTGTGTGTGTGTGTGTGTGTGTGTGTGTGTGTGTGTGTGTGTGTGTGTGTTCTCACCGATGAGGAAGTTGACAGTGATCCACGCAGAAATCCCTGAATAGAGAAAATGAAAAAGTTAAATTACTGGAGATTCACAACCACTTCAGATTTAAGTGTGTATATGACCTGACTGCAGCCGTTACAGTCTACAGCTGACATGCTAACATGTTAACATGCGCACAATGACAATACGTTTTTAAAGTGATTGATGATGAACTTCACTGTTAGAGGGCTCAACCCATAAACCAAAGAGCGCTTTAATAATGAGTCTGAGATGTTGAGGCCAAAAATGTCACACTTTTCTTTCAATATAAAAGTTTCCCTCAGCGTTTTATTGTGGAGGTGAGAACTCTTCCACTGAGATCAGAATTTTATTAAACTCTTATAAAACACAGTAATAAACTTATTTAACTTCAGGGAAAACTATCTTGTCACCTGCTGAATTTATTAGATGTGCAAAGTCTTTATTAGTCACAACAAAGCAGCCACCAAGCCCCGCCCACCTGGACCCACCATCCAAACCTTGCAGGATTTGGTTTCTCTGAGTGTTTTTACCTGAAATCTGCTTTATTTTTATTGGATCACTCAGAAAACAGTCAGCCAATCAGAAGAGAGGCTCAGAGCCTCCTCTCTTCTGATTGGCTCACTGACCTGTTGTTACTAGAGCTGCAGAGAGAAGCCTGAGAGAGGAGATGTAAAACTACACTGAGATGGTTTTTATATCTTCTGATGGATCAACACTTCAAATAAAACAGAAGAAGAAACATGGAGCTTTAAAAATCAAGTGTCTTTTCCAGAAATGTCCGAGGACATTTAGCAGATAATTTTGTCTTAATCAATTGATCAGCTCATGTCAGTATCACACAGCACAGAGCCAGTCCTCCTCCTGTCCTCCTGTCCCCTGGTCTGATGAAGTAATTGAAACATCAATTGTCAGAAATAAAGACGCGCAGAGCGTCCTGTTCTGAGAGGATCTGCTTATTCAGGTCAACTCAAAGACGACATTAGAGTCTGTGGCAGAATATTTCACTCAGCTTCATGCATTAGTGCCTTTTACCAGCGACCTCTGACCCGTCCACATGCAGAAGTGGATGATTATGGAGCTTGATAGAAACTGTATCATAGGAGCTTTACCATAAAACTCTTAGGCCGAGACGCTAAGAAGCAATTTTCAAACAAAACAAACAAGTGCGGAGGGAGACTCGGCTTTAGGTCTGGGAGCTAAACACCGGCACTTAGCACCCTCCGGCCCCCCAGCAACCACTCAGAGATCTGCATTAACAATAAGTCGCTTCCATCCAGGGCGCTCAGAGGGTAATCTCAGCTGGGGATAAGCATCCAGGCCAAGAATGGCAAAATATGTGAGCGATAATAAGGCTGATGGAATCCGGTTAGACCAGCGAGAGTGACGGAGCAGAGGAATCTGTCCATTAGTGACTCGCTGACGGAGGAAAAGTTCATTCACTGATCATTAAAAGACATTTATGTTGGAGCGCAGTAACGAGCTGATCCCACTCAGGAGAAAACATTTCAGCCTCAGAAATTGAACGGAGTGGGGGGGGCGGGGGGGGGGGGGGGTTTAATCGTCCTCCCTCCCTCCCTCTTCAAGATTAAGTGGGACATTATCCCACATGGCCATAATTGCTTGTATGAACTACTTTAAAAGGATTGGATTATATGCTGCAGAGCTGCGTGTCCATACAGAGCAGCATTAAAACACAACCTGCATGTTCCTCTGCGTGTATATATGTATATATATATATATATATATATACACATATATATATATATATATCCAACAACAGTGGTATTAGAGCAGCAGGTTCACTGTGAAGGCAGAGGAGGAGCAGGAGCAGGAGGAGGAGGAGGTCAGCTCAGGCCCAAAACTGTGACCCAGCAGCCAGGAGCAGGGACAGCTGGAGCAGAGAGGTTCACATCTGGATCCTGGAGGGAGGACGATGAGTTCTCAGAGGAACCTCCAGTGATGCAGGAGGAGGAGGATCAGGATTCATTCACCATCTACAGTTTAATTCACATTTCTGGATGTTTCAGATCCTCCCCTCTCCATGTTTCCACTACACAACTGTGAATGATTTTATTTTTCATTTAAATTAAATTAAAAATATTCTAGTCTCGTTTTTTGTCTTTGTCTTTTTTTTTATTTCTGAAATTATTTTTTGAGTTTGATTTGAGGGTTTGATAGAACATGTGACCTGCTGGTCTGGTCCAGTCTGGTATTTACTGTTTAATGTTCACATGGTGATGTGAACATGGTCGTGGTGTTAAAATATCAAACACAACAATAAACTCCTCCCACACATGTCCACCTGTTGGTTTGTGGGTAAACAGGCAGATCAGTGACTGGTCATGATACTGATGTGCATTGTGTTACCATGGTCACCAGGTAATATACTGAATGCCATACAGCCCAACCAATAGGTCAATACAGATGACATAATTTTGTAAATACATAAACATGATGTTTTTTTCTGTTACTGCGTCAGTAGGGAGGGGAGGAGGTTCTGCAGGATGGGTTCTCAAACTGGTTCCACTTTGGATCTGGTTCCAACTTGGTAAAACACCTGGTTTTGTTCATCTCTGTGGAAAATGAATCCCTCCCTCTGACTCCACAGGTAAACAAACGCTGATAAACACGTTACCAACAAATATGGCCGACTGGCTTTAACGTCCCAGAGTCAACAAAACAATAAAGTCCTTTGTTTAAATGTTGATAACTGGAGGAGGACAAGTTCTCGGCCTCAGTCCATGACCAGTGTTACAGCAGATTCTGTGACCTGCAGCAACAACCAGTTAATCAATGATCATTTTACTTATTGATGAACTGACTGATCACAGATCATACTGACACGCAGCAGGATATACATCAGCTGACTGTTGTTTGCGCCGAGCCTCACGAGGATCTCTGTCTCCTGCTTCATCTGGTCTTTAATCTCCACGTTGGAGGTTTTCGTTGGGGAAATCAGAGCCAGAGCTTGGAGGAGCAGAAACAGGATCTGCTCTCTGCTCGTCATCAGATTAAACCACTGAAACCACCAGGAGACGACCAGACAAACAGATTCTCTCTGATTTAATAAACTCATCAAGAGATGACGATCCAGATCAGGGTGAGACCTTACGAGGGGTCAGCTCTCTGCTGGTGTGACCCAGTCCAACTCTCTGCTGTCCACAGACCGGTCCAGCTCTCTGCTGGTCCGACCCAGTACAACTTCAGACTGATGCCGGTCAGAGAACGTGACGGAGAACAGACTTCTGATCAGCTGAAACTTGAAGACTGAGGAAGTCCACCAGTCCACCAAAACAAACATGGACAACAACTGGGACAGACCCAGTCCAGCTGAACCAGACTGGGACAGACCAACTGAACCAGACTGGGACGGACCTGGTCCAACTTGGTCCCATCAGTCCACAGATGTCCCCACCTTCAGTTACCAGGAAAGACACGTTACCTTCGTCAGTGCCGTCCATGATGGACACGCTGTCATCTCTGGACAGGAAGGGGGACTCCAGGAACAGCGCCCTCACCTGCACAGGAAGAGAAACAACAAGATGTTCATCAATCATCTTCATTTATTCGTGACTTCCTCCAACTCACAGCCAACTGATCAGCTGATCAAATGATTTGATAGATTGCGGATTATATTAAAAGTGAAGGACTTTTACCTTAAATCTAGAATTTGATAAAAACACAAATGCCACATCAGTAAACTAATTGAACCTGTTCAAACCAGGATAATTTACATACAGACACACCCCCAAAATGCCAAATATGGTCAACACGTCCCTTTTAGCTTTGCCTTCTCTTACACATACTAACTTTTCTACTTGGTCCCATTTCAATTGATTTTACTGCTTTTTATTATTGAAAACAACATTGTTTTACAGTCTGTGTAAATAAAGTTTGATTCAATTTGATTTGGACAAAAGCAGCAAACAATTAAAATAAATTAAAATATAATGTATATGTTACAGAACCAGTGACGTTCACATGGTGTTACTGGTGTTACTGGAGTTACTGGTGTTACTGGTGTTACTGGAGTTACTGGAGTTACTGGTGTTACTGGAGTTACTGGAGTTACTGGTGTTACTGGAGTTACTGGTGTTACTGGTGTTACTGGTGTTGCTGGTGTTGCTGGAGTTACTGGTGTTGCTGGAGTTACTGGAGTTACTGGAGTTACTGGTGTTTCCACTGTTTCCAGACTTCATTTGATATCATGCAATAATTATTAATGAAGAAATGAATCAGTATAAACTCATTGTAGTGTAATTCAAACTGTCCTCTCTCTGTTTCCCTTTAACACATTAGCTGCATTACGTCTCTCTGTTACTGTGGTATAATATTCTACTATAATCATATATTGATATTATATTTTAATAAAAACTAATGCGCCCCCCCCCCATGTAATCAGCTCTGTGTTTGGCTGATCCAGGACCAGTCTGATAATAAGAGCAAAGCCTCAGATTAAATCACATTTTGGCTGACCGCTCTGCTCCTGTTATTACTGATTACTTAAAAGCTTTAATAGACTTTTTCTTTTTTGGCTCCAACGCTGATGATGATGATGATGATGATGAAGAGGAGGAGGAGGAGGAGGAGGAGGAGGAGCTGTGTGGAGATGTGAGGTTATTAGCTGAAGTAATTCACTTGCATAATGTGGAGGAGATGAATGTGATGCTGCAGAGAGAGGATGTCAGGAGGTTATTGATCTGACCTGGTGATCAGGTGATTGATTACCTGATCAGATTCTTTACATCTTTAATGTCTGTAGGTTTGATGTTGTCTAATGTTACAGTGGACTGAGGTTATTGAAGTTGTTTGTCTGTTTTCTAATTACTTATTTACTTTTTTTTAAGATATCTTTTAATTTCATTTTTTATTTTATTATGTAATTTTATTTTTATTCTTATTTTTCATTTGTCGATTTTATTTAATATCCTATTTAAAATGTATTTTTATTTACTTTTTGAATTGATTTGATTGAGTCTGACAGTATTCCCAAAAATAAATAAATCTGTTTAGATTAAATAATAAATAATAAAATAAAATTTAAGCTAATATGAAACACTGGCAGCCAAAATTAATCAAATGAATACATTTTAATAAATAAATAAAATCAAACATGATTCAATCCAACATCCAGCACTGGCATGCAAAAAATAAATTAATATTAATAATTTAAAAAAATAAAAATGGAGCACTGACGTAAATAAATAAATGAATAATTAAAAAATTAAAGAATTCAATCCAATACTGACATACAAAAAATTATATATTAAAATTTTAATTAAAACAAAATAAAAAAATGAGAAGTTATAAAACCATCAAACCCAATCAAGATAATTATGTAACTACACTCACCCTGTCCAGCAGGTGGTTGGCCTTATCTCCAGGCAGCAGACGGAGGCCGGCCGTTGCCTTCAGGACCACAGGGGTGATGTTCCAGATGGGGGGGGGGACGCTCGATTTCGCCACCTCCAACAGCTCCACGATCCCTGACGCACACTGTGTGTGTGTGTGTGTGTGTGTGTGTGTGTGTGTGTGTGTGTGTGTGTGTGTGGGGGGGGGGGGGGGGGGGGGGAAGGAAAGGCAGATGATTATAGAGGTAAACGATGCACATCACAGCCC